GCATTCCTGATCTTGAGCTTTTGGGGAGCTCAGGCCAGTCTTGCAGAACAGCTCTCTGCTTGTACCTGCTCTCCTGAGTTGATTCTTGTGAGTGGAGTATGTGTCCTTGGCAGGGATCAGGAGGCAGCTGAGGTGTTACCGATGACCTCTCACTGTTCATGCTTTTAAAGTCACCTCTTTCCCCTTTACAGTGAGTGGGCAATATGGATGAGGCCAAGGAGCACCCTGTGAATATCCCTGTGGCCCATCAACTCCTCATTCCTGGCCCCAGTTTAGCATCTCTGTGATACAATGGTTGGTTGAAGTTGTAAGGTGGCTTTTATTTCCAGGGCACTGAGAAGTTGGGATTGTTTGCTAGACTGGGCAGTGAAGGGGAGCAGGGTGGAGAGCTGGCCTTGAGGGTGGAGCGAGAAGGAAGCACAGTCACCTGAGGTCAGGGCTGGGCCTGTGAGTGCCAGGCCAGGCTCAGTCTGCTCATTGTGCAGGGGTTTGCTTGGGGAGACCGTCTGCACTCACCTGCCATGGCTTCTGCATTCTAGTTCCTAGAGGGCGAAGGCTAAGGGACTAGTTCAAGTGTGTCCATACTACTACATCTGCTGAAGCCAGGGGCTGAGTACCAGCAGAATCCCACCTGTGAAGCTCCTGGACACCCCTGAAGGTGTCCAGGGCCTGCCTGAGGAGCCACTCACTACATGCGTTGTGCAGGAAGGAGCTCAGGTGGTGGTATGGCCTCTGGCGAGCTGGGATGAGCTGGGACTGCTCAGGGACAGTCAGTGGTTCCTCTCCCAACAGGAAAGATTGTCCCATGTGGCCAGCGATGGCCTGGTAGGCAGGTTTGGTATGCTCAGGGGGCAGAACAGAGATCTCTGGAGGCTTTCCAGATGACTTTTGTCTGGTCCTGGCCACCAGGGCTGCATTAGGGAGGGAGATGCAGGTCTCCCATTGAGAGTCCCAGGCTATTTCCACTGAAGGCTGCAACTTCCTTGCAATTGGGTGTTTTTCTTAGGGGGTCCTTGGTGCCATGAAAGCATCTGCTTTGCAGGTGAATGGAGGGGAAGACTGATAGGGCTTCCTGGAGTGGCTCACAACTGCAGTGGGACCAGAAGGTTGGGTGTCACTAGCACATTCCTCCGGCTGTGCCAGCCACCTGCTGGACCTTTCCTGCATTCCTGACCCACTTCCCATGACACGGCCCTTGTTCATTCCGCTCAGGCCCCCAAGTCCTGACTGCTGAGCTGGGAGGTCGAAGGGGGCTGGACCGGGCCAGTGAGAGGCTGCAGGAAACGGAGTGGCTGTGGCACACATGGGGTCCCAGCCTTGGTACTTGCCTGCTCTGTGCCTCCATTTCTCCTTCTGCACTTTGGGACTGGTCTTGGTCCTGACTACTGGGAAGTCATGCAACTCTGAAGAGAGGAGATGGGAACCTGTGGCAGGGCCCTGTGTAGAGACGGCTTCTGTGTAGGAGCAACATGACCAGGGAGTCCTTCTGCCACAGACAGCTCTGAGTGTCTGCTGGGATAAATGCAGTTGTGCCAGCTGGCTGGAGCTAGCCTTGTCTCTCATGGCAGGAGAGGCTTCAGGTGACTAAAGAGACGAAACAAGATCTAGCACTGGATTGGCAAACATACCCGCAGGCCCAGGCAGCTGCAGGAACTCACCAGGCCCTCCGGCTCCTAGTCACCACATGGGAGAGTAGAACAGCTGCAGCCGAGTTACTAGGCCCGAGCCTAAAGAAGTTTCTCTGTCCCTTTACACTCGGCCACCCCCAGCCCTAGGAGAATGGATGAGAATGCATTTCTAACCCTTAGGTAGGTAAGGGATCAGTTTTAAAACAGTTTTCTGCTCCTAAAGCTATCATTTAAAAATGGCTAGGGGGAATTTGATAGTAAGAAAAAGAACATTATGTGGCCAAAAGTCAGCATGAGGTGAAGAGATGTATTGTATGCAGGACAGGGTGAGGTGGAGCCAGAGATCTCATTTATTGGCAGGAAGAGCCATAGGGAAGTGCCGTGTGAATGTAGGCAGTTCCCCTGCCTGCAGAGACAACTGGGACAGGGTGTTCAGCATGCATCGGGCAGATGCAGGGGCAGGAGATAGGATGCCGTGTGCACTGCCAGAGGGGTAGCCCATTTTGTCTTTCAGAAGTATCCTGCACTTGACCCCAGATGGACACGAGGGTCTACAGGAAGTCACTGTAGAAGAGAATATGCAGCAAACAATTAAGGAGCCAGGCTCTGCCCTGGCCCAGGGTCCTGCCTGTGATGGACCCTGCTCGAGGGCTTCTGCTTGGGTGAGGCAGACCAATGGAATGGAGGATTGAGGTGTCATGGTGGGAGTGTTCAGGGGAGGCTTCTTGGAGCCATTTAAGAACCCAGGCAGGTACAGGTAAAGAGAGAAGGGGTGGGGCAGAGGAGGGAGGTGGTGATGGTGACCCAAGGTGACTGGCAAAGTTATTTTCCTTGAGGGTAGTGGTTTGGAATGTCTTCCATGGGGTCTCTAAAGTTTTCCAGCCACTGGAGGGGTTAGCAGTTGAGCTGTGGCCAACTTGTTTCTTCCATCATTTTTTTTTTCCCCACTTGGAGAGGTTTTTGCAATAGGGTACGTGTGCTTGCCAGAAAGAGAGAGAAACAGGAAGTGAGAAATCACCCCCCCATCCCCAGGGGGATGGCCATGCTGCAGTCCCTTTTCCTCATTCAGGATCTTGGGCACACGTGCACATGTGCTGGGCGTGAGTTTAAGTCACCAGGTCCAGGACTTGAACTGTGGTTAACTACATGGGAGTCCAGCAACATAGCCATTATGCTATCTGCTAGTCCCATTGTTTCTTCATCTTAAGTATCTTTATTGAGGTAAAATTTTTAAACCATAAAGTTCACCTTTACAAAGTAGACAATTCATTGATTCTTGGTATATTCACAGAGATGTATAGCTGTTACCACAGTTGAGGACTGTTTCATTACCCTAGAATGAACTCCAGTGCCAGCCAGCAATCACTCCCTACCCCCACCACCCAACCCTGCAGCCACTCATCTCCCAGTCTCTGTCAAAGAACTGAGAAACACACACAGCCATGCTGGCTTTGTACTCCATGTCCTGGTCAGAGTAGACCTGGAAGAGGTCAGAAGTGCCTGGTCGTGTATCAGGAAACTGCAGGGTTCTCTCCAACTTGGGATTCTGAAAGGCGTTTCTGCCGCAGCTGTGTCAGACATGGGTATTCTTGAATTCCTAGAACATCTGTGGTAGAATTGGTTTGTTTCTGTGGTTCCACTGAAGGAAGCACTCACACTGGTTGCTACTAGGGTGGCATCTGGGGAGCCTCCCTCCCTGCTGGCTGTGGCTCTTCAGACCCAGGTGGATTCTTGTTGGTCCAAGTTCTTCTATGTTATAACCAGTGAGGACATCAGAGGCCCAAGACCTGTGGTGGCCTGCTGGGTTCTGTTGTCTAGCTAGCTCATTGGCACGGTGACAATTGACATTGTTGTACATAAACTTCCTGAGTTCTAGCTTCTCTGACATGACGTGGCTGCCCTCCTGTCCCCTTCCTCTTCCTGCCTGACTCTGGCCAGGGGCCAGAGCTGTAGGGCTATGCCACTTCAGGACCAGCTGCTGTACCCTGATCTCCAGTGCGGGCTGCCCACTCCTTACTTTTTTTTTTCTTTCCAAAGAGGTATATTTCACACACAGAGTTGTTTTCACAAGAGGTGTATTAAGTAGACTCCATTTCTGAGATGAACCCAAACCTAGTGTGATGATCCCTACATCATGTGTAGAACATGTGATCGGAATGAGTTTTCTAACATTTTAAGATTTTCACTTCTAGGTTTATAAATGAGAATGCCCTATACTTTTCTTTCTTTCTTTTCTTTCTTTCTTTTTTTTTTTTTTTAATAAGGTTTTTGTCATAAGTCACATGCACTCACTGAAGAGAGAGAGGGGGAGAGTAAGAAATCACCCTCCTACAGGGGATATCTCCACTGCAATCCCTTCTCTTCCATTCTCCTCTCAGGATTTTGGGCATGCACACATATGTACCTGGCATGAGTTTCAAGCCACCAAGTCTGGGACTAGAACTGCAGTAGGCCATGTGAGGGTTTAGCATCTTAACCACTACACTGTGACCTGCTGGCCTCAATACTTTGTCTTTTTTATACCACCTCTCAAAGTTCTTTAAATCCTATTGATCATGGCCTTAAAAAATGAGTTTCCCTTCCCACCTTTATGGTTTTATCTATGCAGGTAGAAAACAAGTTTTACTGGTAGTTAGCAAGTGGATTGCTTGGAAGTAATCTTGTGTGAGCTCTGGCTGTGGGTGCCCAGTTGAGCTCCGGGGTCCCATCTTTGTTCTTGGCTTTGTTCTGTGACATGGATGTCCCCACCGTCTAGCTCTTACCGATGGGCATATCTCAATATTCCTTGCAGGTCACTGGGTCCTGGCACTGAGCGAGCTCCCTTGGGCATCCTGTCATCCCCAGCATCTCTACCTTGGAACCACCTTATCCCTAGCTAGGCCCCCTCACATTTTCTGGTGCAGGTTCCGAAAGATGTTGCCTTTGGAGAAAGCATCTGCTTCCCCCAGGAACTCCCCAACATCCCCAGAACTGCCCATGCCAGTGTCAGCTGACAGCAAACAACAGAAGGACCCCGGGGCCATCCCTGGGAGGACCCCTGCCGACCTTGAGTTCTCCCGCTTACGCTTCCGGGAGCTTGTTTATGAGGAGGCAGCAGGGCCCCACCAGACCCTAGCCCGGCTGCATGAACTGTGTTGCCAATGGCTGCAGCCGGAGGAGCGCTCCAAGGAGCAGATGCTGGAGCTGCTGGTGCTGGAGCAGTTCTTGGGCATCCTGCCCGACAAGGTCCGGCCCTGGGTGGTGGCGCAGTATCCGGAGAGCTGTAAGAAGGCGGCCTCCCTGGTGGAGGGCCTTGCTGAGACCCTGGAGGAGCCAGGTGAGGTCACTGCCCCATGGAGGAAATGGATACCCCCAGACAGAGCCCAATCCTCAATTGGCTTTCCTGAGGGTTTAGTCCCCATGTTTAAGGGGCACAGAGTTAAGCAGCCTCAGAAGGTGAGGCAGCTTGTTGGTCTTTGGGCATCCAAGCCCCTGCCACTCTGCACAGCGGCATCACCTTCAGGGGTGCCTTTGGGCCCGACAGCTTCTTAAACTCATGCCCTCACTTCTGTCTTCTGGATGGAAAAAAGCTGAAGGAATGGGGGAGGGCTGTCCAAGGCAGTCTCTTAAAACTGGGCCAATATTCTGGTACATGGCTGGGTTTCCTCTTTAGTCTGAGGGTGGGGCCTGGGTCCACTGTTCCCCCTGGGGGTTTAACATGCGACAGGCCAGGTTTCTGGGTCACTGTTTTCTTGGTCATAAATAGGGATGCTGCTAGGTTCCCCCACTGGGTCCTCAGCTTTCAGTGAGGAGCTATGTGAGAAGTATGCCGAGCCTCTTCTGTTACCATGTGAGCCAACGAGCCCCTTCACAGGACCACAAGAGACCCTGGCACTCCTGGAGACTCGTGAGTTACTGTCCAGCCTGTTACGGGGTAGTGGGTGGGGTCTGTGCACAAGAGGGGGAACCAGCAGTTAGCGTACCGGCTATGTCGCTGGCGTCCCACATAGTCGACCGCGGTTCATGTCCTGGACCTGGTGGCTTGAAACTCAGGCCGGGCGTGTGTGCGTGCGTGCCCAAGATACTGAGAGGAGAATGGAGAAGGGATTGCGGCGTGACCATCCCCCCTGGGGGGTCATTTCTCGCTTTCTGTCTCTATGTCTCTCTGTCTGGCGAGCGCACGCGCCCAATAGCAAAAACCTCTCCAAAAAGAGAAGAAAAAAAAAAAAAGTGGGCAAGAGGGTGATGTCACAGAGGTAGCATGGGAGCCAGAGGGAGGCTGGGTGGTACAGGAATTCCCTGTTGTAACTGAGAATTCTTCCTATAGGTTCTTGTGAATGTTAGAGAAATATTTCCTCAAATTCCTCTTAAAAGATTATACAAGTCATACATGTTTATCACAAGTGGGGAAAAAGCACAGTTAGAGGGTATCCCCTCATGCCCACTAGAAAACATGTCTTGAATGTCCTTCCTCAAATCTTTGCACTTGACATGAGCATTTGCTGTTCAGATGGAACAGCCCCACCAGCCAGGTGGAGACCTGGCTCCTCAGAGGCACAGCCTTTCACTGTCTTGTGTGGAATTTGCACACCCTGCACCTCTGAACAAGGTCACAGTAATGCGCCTGTTGTTTTTGCAGTAGGCTATGGTTTGTGTAGAGCTGGTTCCCAGGACCACTGGACGAGGGGCATTGTTATTTTACTTTTTTTTTTTCTGAGAGAGTTTTTTTTTTTTTTTTTTTTTTTTCTGAGATATATACCTACTCTCTTGAAAATGAATTATGTCTATTTCCAATTTTCTAGATCTTTGTACAATTTTTTTTTTTTTTTTTTTGGAGAGGTTTTTGCTATAGGGCACGTGCACTTGCCAGAGACATAGAGACAGAAAGCGAGAAATCACCCCCCAGGGGGGATGGTCACGCCGCAATCCCTTCTCCATTCTCCTCTCGGGATCTTGGGCACGCATGCACATGCGCCTGGTGTGAGTTTTAAGCCACTGGGTCCGGGACGCGAACCGCGGTCAACTACGTGTGAGTCCAGCGACATAACCATTATGCTAACTGCTGGTTCCCAGAATTTTACATTTTGTGTAAACTGGAGAACCAGTGTCTGGTTCTCCTGAAGCTTTGTGACAGTACCAATGGAAGGGAGTAACCATTTGCCCATATTCTTGCCAGCAGTGGATGTTGCTTCTTAAGATTTCCCCCAGTCTGGTGGGTTTAAAAGCATAATCTTTTTTGTGACTCAGAGTATTCTTTCTGGGACTACCCCTGAGGTGGGGCTTCTTTTTGTTTTCTTCTTGGCCATTGTGCTCAGTAAACTGAGGGCAGATATGGCGCTCTCCCTGAGATCTGTGCAGGGAGGTGGTGGGGCTCCTGGGCTGATGTGGGGTTCCCAGCCATGCCGTGCTCACTGCCTCCATTTTGCCATTTCACCCAGGCTGGCAGGCTCTAGACCCCAGGCTGCCAGAACAGGGGAACATCAGAGAAGACGTTCAAGAAGAGTTCAAGCCAGCCAAAGTTCAGCTGAAGGTGGGTAGGGCCACTGCTGGCCCTGGGTGCCCCTAGGCCTGTCCCACTCTGGCATCTCTCCTTGTCCCATTGTTAGCATTCTGCCACAGAAGTGCTGAGGCTGAGACTTGCTATAGTGATGACCAAGGGCCAAGCCTTCGAGGCTCTGGGTAGAACAGAGGAGGTTCCCTCCTCTGTGAGGAGGGCCTGCCTTGGTGAAACTTAGTGGCTGGAGCCCTCAGGCTGGTGTGGCAGAAGGTTCATCCCTCAACACGTGGGAAGCCACAGCTGGACTGTGCTGCTGTTTCAGAAACCGAAGTTGTTGGAGGAGACTCTGGGGGAATGGGGCCACTTGGACCCTGCTGAGGAGAACCTGAGGAGCTACAGGAAGCTGCTACTGTGGGGTGAGATCTGCTTCATGGCTTGAGCACTCCCCCTCTGGCCCCTTCCCACCCTGTTGACCTGAGGGCATTTGACTATCCATCCTACCTTGGGGCTTTGGCTGGGACACCTGGGTGTTTTAAATGTATTTAAACTTGAGCATCTTTTGAGTCTTTAAACTTGAGCTCATTAGCCCTGGTCCCCACCCTTCCTGGTCCACACATCTGAGTTATTTCTGGGCCCTGGGGCTTAGAATTTGCATCCCCTACCTATAGGGCCTGAAGCCTCCTGGCCCTGAGGCACCAACATTCCTGCCATCCTTGATGCAGAGACTGCTCTCCCCCAAACCCTGACCTGGTGAAGGGTTTTCAGCCTTGTGCAGCTGTTTGCCCCAGAAACTCTCCTTTGTAGGGAGGCCCCCAAAACTCTTTTGAGTCTTTTATAATCTTATATTCATGTGTCTTTAACTTTGCTTCCCATGGAATTCCTTCCACCTTCCCTGCTGGACTTTCAGCCTTGCCAGGCAGACTTTTGTTCCTGCTGTAGGTTCCACAGGCTCTGAGGACTGGGGCTGTGGTCCTGCCCTGGCCAGCTCATGGGAAAAGAGGCCTGTTGGCCACTTTCTGTTTTGGTGACTTTTAGTTTTCTTGGCTTTTTAACCTACTCAGGGTATCAGCTTTCCCAGCCTGATGCCACCTCCAGGCTGGAAACAGAGGAACTTCAGTTGGTAGAAAGAGAACTACCAGGAGGCAGCCTCTCAGGTGAGGTTGGTTAACGATGGGCAGGGGTTGGGTAGAGGGTGTGCCCTTCTTTGGAGGCTGATGGGGTTCCTTATAGGTTCACCACCTTGGCAAAACCTCAACTTTGACTTCATGTGTCACCCCCCCACCCCCACATCAGAACAGAAGGCAGGAATCCAGTTATTTCTGTGATCTCTTACAACATCACAACCCAACTCCAAACTTGGTTTCCTGAAGAAGCTGCAATATTATCATTCAGGTTGCTTGAGCTCAGCTGGGTGACATTCTGGTCCATTTTGTAGCTTCTGAAGCTTCACACAACCAGTCATCTAGTGGCTGGACTAGGACAGGAATATCCCAAACAACCTTACTCATACAGCTGGCAGTTGGCACTGGCTCTTGATGGGGAGCTCAGCCGAGGTGGTTGACCTGGGTTCTTTCCTAAGTTACCTCCCCACATGGCTGCTTAGGCTTCCTCACAGTATGGCAGTTGGGGGTTCTAAGAGAGAGCTTCCAAGAGGATAAGCACTTACTAAGCCTTTGCATCATGCATGCTAATGTCCTATTGGCCACAGTAGGTCACATGGCTATGCCGGTGTTGTGGGTGGTGGTGGTGAGTATGGTCCTTTCTAGTGACAGAGACGTAGGCTGCCTTCATGTCACAACTCTGGCCTCCATTGCCATAGTCAGTCACCTCAGGATCTAAGATGGCAATTTCAAATTTATGTCAACAAACAGCAGGAAGGAAGAGGTCCCTTCCAAACCCTGCGCTACCCCCTGATAACCACGGGCCAGAATTTGATCACATGATCACCTTGGCTGCAAAGCAGGCTGGGAGTGACAGTCTTTCAGGTAGCTGTGAGCACAGCTCATACTCAGCAACTGCTGAATAAGGGAAGGCAGGTTTGGAGACAGGTGGCTGTTCTCTGAGACCACACTTAATGACTATGATCTGCCAAATCCATAATCACTGGTGCTACTGAGAAGGTTGCAAGAGACCGTGTGTGCTAAGCATGGTCTCAGCTGGTGACCCACTTCTTCCCCCTTATGTGGGCTTTCCTGCCGTACACATTCTGGTGTTGGTCCACAGTTGTCCTGCTTGTGGCAGTTTTTTCCCCAAGCCTTGGGAGTCAGACTGCTCACACTGCCCTTGTTTCAGGCAGCGGGAGGCAGCAGAACAAAGGCAACACGTGTGAGGGAGTCTCTGAGCCCAGGGTGTGGACGGAGAGGTTTGCAGGGGACAGTCCCGTTAACCCCTCATCGGGCATCACCCAGGAGGAGGAAGAGCAGCCTTGGAATGTTCCAGATCCTCAGGATGGGGAATTGAGCACTGTCACTGTAGCCCAAAGGCAGTCGGTCATCCAGAAGCCAGCCCAGGACAGGGGCGGAGCAAGGTTGACCACTGTACCACAAGGCCTTGGAGTCAAGAGGCCCCATCCAGAGGACAAGGGTGGGCAGGACTCCCAGTACATCCCCAGGGTGAGCTGCCATCTGCCACATGACATTGGGAAGGAACACAATGCATCCTGCCACAGTGCAGGGTCCCTGGCAGGGCAGGACCCTGCAAGCTGCCCTAGGGATGACAAGCTTGGAGTGTCAGGAAGGAAGCCTTGCTACACCTGCAGTGAGTGTGGGCAGATCTTTACCTGGATCTCCCACCTCATGGAACATCAGAGGAACCACAATGGCAGGAAGCGCTATGCCTGTCAGAGCTGCTGGAAGACCTTTCATTTCAGTCTGGCCCTGGCTGAGCACCAGAAGATCCACGAGAAAGAGAAAGGCTACACGTTCGGGGTGGGACTGGGCTCCCATCCTGCAGCACGTGAAGCCTATGCTGGTGGGAGGCTGGGTGGGCTCCCAGAGTATGTAGGAGGTGATGTTTTTCCTGGGCAGCCTGAGGCACAGAGATGAACCCTGTGTTGTAAGTCTCCTGCAAGATGGATAGCTGCCCCTGGGAATTCCAAACAAAGTATCGAGCTCCCTCAAAACCCTGAGGTAGTGACTTCCTGTGGTGTCTGTGTGGATGTGAATCAACTTATTTTCTAAGTGAGTGAATGTGGGTAAAGCATTGAGAACCAGGGGGGCACACGGGAAGCAGCACCTCCTAAACATACCCTGGGCAGATACTCACATTCAAGTGTAAGCTGTAGGGTGTGAAAGAAGACTGCACTTTCTTTTGCAGCCATTTTAGTACTGTCCACATGCTGGATAATTTGACATTGTGCAAAGTGTAGAGCTGCCTGCCTTAACATGTAATTTGCCAGTATTTTCTTAAAGCAACCTTGCCTTGGTTCCTCCTCATTGAGCTTCCCAAGGTCATTCACACAGAAACCTGCCAGCTGTTTTGGTCTTTTCGTACATACATGATATCAAGTTCACTTCTGAATTGTCAAAAGCAGAAACTGTTTTCTAGTTTAACTTGTGTGTCTTTTGTAGCTTACAAAGATCATAAAAACGCTTGGAGCCTAGTAATGTGGTTTTCAGACCTTGGGTCCCAGTCCATTAGTGAACTGTGAAATCAAATTAGTGGATACCACTGGCATTACAAATAATTTAAGTAGAATAAAATAGGTCAGAATGCATCATGTAGTAAAACACTTATTGTTTTGTGGAACTTTTCAACCATATATTTAAACATGAGAACTAGTTGCCCTATAAAGTGTATTTCTTACTGCAAAGTTGTGATCAAAATAGGTTGAAATCAAAGGCTGAAGAGGAGCCCTCTCTGCCCAAGCTAAGGGAATTAAGGTCCTTGGGCTACATCAAATGATATTGCAATTTTTGCATCTACTCTCAAATTATAGCATTGCTTATATTGCCTGAGCATAAATTTAATTGCTCCTTGTAAATACAGAACTGGGTCCCTCTTTGTCACTGTGTTTGAGCAGGCAATCTGTTGTAATGACCCCCAAATCACTGAGGCTTTACATAATAAAGGGTTTATTTCTTCACTCACACTTGTTGATGCTTCTTTGTGTGTTGGTGGGAGGGGCACTCTGCTCCATGCATGTTTTAGGGATCTAAGTTCCATCCCTACTGTAGCTGCACTTCACAGTGGACCCTTGCAGCACATGTGGAAGGCCACAACCATGCACCTGGATACTGACGTAATTTACAACACATACATACATTCCAAAACCCCTTACACAGAAAAATGACTAGAAGATTTTTCTCTTTTTTTTTTTTTTTTTAAAGGGAGATTTTTGCTATAGGATGTGTGTACTCACTGAAGAGACAAGAGACAGAAAGTGAGAAATCATCCCCCAGAAAGACAGCCACGCCACAATCCCTTCTTCATTCTCCTCGGGATTTTGGGCACATGTGTATATGCCCAGCATTGAGTTTCAAGCCTCTGAGTCTGGGACTCGAACCATGGCCAGCGATGTGGGAGTCCAGTGATGTAACCATTATGCCACCTGATGGTCCCAACTGAAGGATGTTACACACACACACACACACACACACACACACACGGGAAATGTAGGAGCATGGAAAACAATTCTTTTGCCTGTGAGCATTTTCATTATAAAAGTGTCTCTTGGGTACCTGGAATGAATGAAGGAGTTTGGTTAGTAGCAGGAAGACCTTGTGAACTTTCTTCATTCAGGCAGATGGCATGAAAAGGTGGACTGGTGTGTTCAATGTGGAGAAAGGTAGATCCTCTATTCCACACATCCTGAATCCAAGGAAAAGCCAGAGGTTGAGCTGTTCCCTCACCCCAGAGAGACTCTGGTATAGGCCCACACTTGGGAATGGTGGGCTTCTGCAGAAGAGCCACTCAGGAGGCTTGGACACAATCCTCACTTGACATTATCCACGTCTATTTCAAAAATCATCCAGTGCCCTGGTATACAGGTGACCAAATCAGTCTTAGGTTTTAACACCATTCACTTTCAGATGGTTTTCATTCACACTAAGGTTGTAGTCTTTGGAAGTGCCAGGCTCTGTCTTCTCCATGTCCATTGTAGGTGTCTCTCAGAATGGGATTGGAGGGATTATGGTGTGAATCTGGATTCATGGGTTTGAAGCTCATACAATTGAGAGGTCTTTTCAGAAAGAATTAAAATTACAAATGTAGGTCCAGCAGCAGGCATGATAGTTACAGGTGTGGGACTTCCCCTCATGGATGCAGTTCACTTCCCAGACCTGGTGGCTTGCTTTCTCACTTTCTGTCTCTCTCTGGTGAGCACATGTACCCTATAGCAAATTAAAAATAGCAAATAAAATTTTTAAAATTATAAACATAAGATTAGGTGCCTGGTCTTGAAAGAGATCTTCACCTTCATTAACTTAGTGGAACATTAGCCAGTGATGTGGTGGTTAAGGTAAGTGGATCCTATCTGGTCAGTGTGCCCAAAATCCTGAGAGGAGAATGGGGAAGGTGTTGCAGTGTGGCCACCCCCCTTAGGGGTTGATTTCTTTCTCTGCTTAGTAATTGTACATGCTCTATAACAAACTCTGTGAAAAATCCATGAGTTCACAGCCTCAGAACGTGGTGTGAGCTCTCTCTCAACCTATGAAAATCTGTTTGTAGAAAGGACAGTTTCCAGAAATCTCAATGAGACAACCAGCTCCAGCCTCTAGCTGACAAAAGTCTCGAGAGTTAAGACTCCCGAGACACCCACTACACATGATGAGGCACCTCTTGAAGGGTGGCTTCTGGAAGTGAAGAGAAAGGGGCAGGACTTCTGTAGTAAGAGGTTTTGGTTTCCTGTGGTAGCAGGCTGGCTTTCTTGTTTAGTTTGTGGGTTTGTCTTGTTTGTTTTTAGTTTGCTACAGTGTGTGTGTGCGCTCACCAAAGAGAGGGAACGTGAGAATCACCCACCCCACCCCAAGAGATGGCCACATCACAATCTCTTCTCCTCCATTCTCTCAGGATTTGGGGCACACTTGACATGTTTTTCAAGCCACTGGGTCCAGGACTTGAATATTTCTCTTGGTTGGCCACATGGGATCCAACTGCCTTAACCACCATGCCACTAGCTGAGCCCCCCCCCCTTTTTTAATTGCCAGAGAATACTTGTCCTGGCCCGACTAGGGGGTGGGGTGGGAAGAAAGCACTCCCCACTGGGGCATATTCACATGGTCATCCCATCAGGATTTGGGGCATGCATATGTGCTCAGTGTTTTTTAAGCTACAAAGTCAGGAGTTGAGCTGCAAGTTGGCCCTGTGGGATCCAACTCTGTTAATCACTAGGCTACAAGGCTGGCCCCCCTACTATGGTTGTTTACCTTTCACAGATTTGCCCTGGTTTTAATGTAACAAACCTTTATCATATCCACTACAGACAATAATGGTAGAGTTGTTATCTCTGGCCAGTCTTTACCAAGTCAGTTCTCTCTACTCTGATTACTTTGTCTTACGATGACTGACTCGACTATTTGGTATTCCTCTCCCTGTGACTAGGTTACAAATCTCTAATGCCAGGGACATTTTTCTGTACAGTTCACACTTGTTTACTCTAGGCCTAAAGGGAAGAATAAATGGATTAACTCCTTTTTGACAGTATAAGCTTAGGAACTCCCTTTAAAGCACCCACTCTCCTAAAACAAAAATGGCTTGGGGGTGTGTGGGTGACAGAAATGCATGGAATGGTTTTGGAAAAGAGGAAGGCCTCCCAGAAGAAATCTGATTCATTGAGTTCAAACGTAGGTTAGAGGAAACAATGTGTTATTTGATGGTCTCACTGTCTCTCCTCAAGGCAGCTAGAAGCTGAGTCAGCAGCAGTGGCTCAGCAATAATGCAACACTTTGTGATGCTGAGAAGGTCCTGGGTTTGTGTCTGGAGGTCCGGTCTGCTGACATCCCATAGCCTGAGGACCCTGTTGAGGATGCCTGTGTGTGTGTGTGTGTGTGTGTGTGTGTGTGTGTGTCTCCCTTTCCTATGGAAAAAATAACACAAGACAGCTAAAAGAGTTAAACACTTTCCCGATATATGAATATATATGTAAATACATACTTCTATATGCTTCTATAAAATATGTGCATATTAGAATGCATAGGCTTTTTAGGCATATAATGGAGATGATGGTTTTATCAGTGATGCAAGTAAATGTTTTACATGCACTTTATACTTGACTGCATGTTCTGAAATTCCATGAGCTCATTTAATCATCAGTGTACACTGAGGGGCAAGTAACTTAACGGCTGTTTCCTTAATTGGGTTAAATTTTCTGTTACTTGTAATGCAGCTAAGCCAAAAAGGATTTTTAAATCCCTAGAAGAGTTGGGATTTCTCTTTTTATTTTCTCCATAACACTGCGTAATGAACTTACTAATTAATCTGAAATTTTCATGAAAATATAAGCTCCTTAGGCCTGGAATTTCATCAGTCTGGTTGACTAGTGTATTTGAGTGAAATAGTGTACCTGACCTATACTTCATGCTCAATAGCTGCTGCCTGAAAGAATCCTTTTACAGACAACGTGAACTGAAGCTCAGGAGGGAAAGTGACCACTAAACATTGTTGGTCCTACCATGCTATTCCCATGAAAGGTCCCAATGCCCTAGCTTTCCCATTTTATCAGAAACACACTGGGAAGTCAAAGGTTAGTTAATTCTCCATTTTCTATCATTTTTACTCCCAAAGTGGGTAATTTTATCTGCCACTCAGTGGAAATCCAACTCAAAATTGGAAACATCTTATTTTTTATATCCCACGATAGCAAAAGGATGGAGGCCAGTTCCAGGGTGGGGCCACTGCTTGAATTCTACATGTTGTTGGCCTTTACTGTATTTTATGAGATGATTTCATCATCACAATGGTTCCTCTCGTAGTTGCAAAATGGCTGCCAGTTTGCTCCCTCCTTCATATTCATAGAGACAGAACCTCTCTTTGCAAAAGAATGAGACCTTTCTCTAGCTCTAACTGAACCAACTTAAGCTACAGGTTTCACTTCTAATGCTAGTCACCAAGAGAATGCTTTGTTTTGACTGACTACCACCTGGGCTCCCTGAGCTAATCACTCACCAGAGGGATGATGTTGCCATGACTATCTTGACCCATCAGGAAGGAACCCTGTAAGTGAGTCTTTTGTTGTTGTTGTTTTTGTCATTGTTGACTCTCTGGCTGCTTGAGAGGGAGAAAAGGGTGGAGAAGTATGTTCTTTGGCTTCAGTTTGCTAAAAGCAACAGACCTTAAATCAAGAAGCAAGTAATTATTATCATATATGCTACAAAAAAAGTGTGAAGTTTCTGAAAAAGTTTCCTGAGGAAAAGTTTAAGGGTCTGGGATGGGAGGATGTATGGGTGAAAACCAATTGACAGGTAGAGGGAGTATTCCCTTAAAGAAGGAAAAGGGGCCTTCTCACAGGTCCCAGGGATGGCACATCATATGTTTTCAGCAGGGATCCTTATTTAACAAAGGATATGATGAGGGCTTTATCAACACTACCCCAAAGATTTGGGCTCATCTGTTCCAGGAGATAAGATGAAAGCTGCATAACCTTTTCTGACCTAGCCTCACAATCCTCCACTATTCTTGAGTGTAAACTGCATTCACCCCTTTCAGTTTTCCTAGCTGATCTTTTACTTTTGTGCTGATAATGAATTGATAGCAATTACGAAAGTAAGCCAGGTCATCGAGTCATAGACCCATGTGCCACTGCAGTTTTTCTGACACCTTGAGTATAACTCCCTCTATTTCCCTCAGCTAGCTTGGCAGAATCAGGAGTCTCATCTTTCCCAAGTTTAGGGTAGAAGCAATACCATGGGCACCTCTCTGTGGTTCCCAACTGTTTTATCGAGTGTGTGTTGTCACAAAAGGTCTGATAAAGAGGTGCTGAGTAGGTAGCAGTTCATAGGAACTTCCCTTGGTTTTTTTTTTTTTTTTTTTTTTTTTGTGATGAAAATGATCTAGCATTCTCAAAAGGATGGAAAAAGAGCACATGACCGGGAGCACGTGATTTCTTGCTTTTTCTTTTTTTCTTCTTTTTTTCTCTAGAGATTTTTGTTATAGGGCATGTGTACTCGCCACAGACAGAAAGTGAGAAATCACCCCCCTCACCCCCAACGGGGTATGGCCAAGCTTCAATCCCTTCTCTTCCATTCTCTTGAGATTTTGGGCATGTGCGTGCATACACACACACACGTGCCCAGCATTGAGTTTTAAGCTCCTAGGTCTGGGACTTGAACTGCGGTCAACTACATGGAAGTCTAACTAGGTAACCACTACGTCATCTGCTGGTCACATGTCTCTCTGGCAAGTGCACACACTCTATAGGAAAAATATGTCTATAAAAAGAGAAGAGATATTTTGCTTTTTGTTTTGTTTTGTTTTGTTTAGAGATTTTTGTTATAGGGAGCATGCACTCACTGGAGAGACAGAGAGACAGAAAGTGAGAAATCACACCCCCCCACCACCCCAGGGGGATGGCCATGCCACAATCACTTTTCTTCTAGTCTTCTCTAGGGGTTCTGGGCACACATACACATGTACCCAGTGTGAGTTTTAAGTCATTGGGTAGGGGACTCAAACTGTGGTTGACTAAATGGGAGTCCAGTGATGTAATCATTATGTCACCTGCTGGACCCCGCAAAGTATATCATTAATGATTTTTTTTTATACTGAAACATTAACTTCATTTGTTTCTTCTTTTTATTTTTGCCATAGGGAACATGTACTTACTAGAGAGAGACAGAGAGAGGGAAAATGAGAAATCTCTCGGGCAGGAGGGCCATGCCACAACCCCTTGTCTTCCATTCTCCTCTAAGGATTTTGGACATGAACACACATACACACACACGCTTGGAGTGACCTTTAAGCTGCTGAACTGGGACTTGAACCTTGGTCAGCCGTGTGTGAGTCCAGTGCCTTAAGCACCACATCACATGCTGGTCCTGTTGTTTTCTACTTTTTTCTTTTTTAGGTTTTTGCATGCATTTGCAGGAGACAGACAGAGAGACAGTGAGAGGGAAAGTAAGAATTCATCCCTCAGAGGGGATGGCCAGGCTGCAATCCCTTCTCCATTCTCCTAGGATTTTGGGCATGCTCACAAACACACCTGATGTGAATTTCAAGCTGTCAGGTCCAGGACTCAAACCATAGTCAGCCATGTGGGAGTCCAGTACCTTTCCCACCATGCTACCTGCTGATCCCTCTTCTTGCTTTATAAATGGTGTACTTCAATGTTAAACTTTACTGCTCTCATTTCTGAAACACTCTGCCATACTGTTTTTTTTTAAATATCAGAGTCAACTTGCACCACTCATAAATACTGGGATATTTAACATTACCAATATGGTTTGTATTATTTAAATTGGACAGTGCTTCAATACATTATTTACCCCCCCCCTTTTAAAGAGACTTTTAAATAATACTAACATTTAATTTAAAAAGGAGGCATTGCACAAACATACTGAGGAACAGTATTGGAAGAGTATTTGCATCATGGTTCCCCTAAAATAGAAATTTCAAATTGACTGGAAACTTATATCTTAATATTATGATTAAGAAAATCAGACTGACTGATGTAATGGGTTGATGCTGAAACCACCCAATACAATCTTATTATGGGTTCTAATTATAGTTGTCAGAGAGGTTGCTATGTGTGTATTTGGGACTCAGTGAAATACTATTAGGTCTTCAAATTAAATCATATTAAAACAAAAGTTTACTAAACACCAGGATGAAGAGTCATTGAAAAAATAATTAAGGAGTGGATTAAATCGCACATTTCCTAAATGAGAGAAATCTTGCAAAGCATAAAGTTCCAACATGAAGGTGCTTATTGTTCCTCAGACAATAGCTTAACAAAGGAAGCATCTTATTCTTCTTATAAAACAGCAGTATCTGCAATCCTGATACCTGTGAGTCCTAGAGAAACTTAGGACTTAGAGAAACTTCATATTTTGAGTCTTCCCATACAAAGCTTTTCAATCCCATTGCATATAAGGATGCAAAATAATACATAGATACTTTAAAATCTGTCTATAAGTACATCAATATTTTGTCACATAGAATTCAAATCTGAGACTGGCTGCCATGTATCCTGATCAATAAATTTACACATTTATCAGAAATCTTGGTGTGGAGACAGTCAAGTATCCGTGATGAATCTATAAAGATGCTTCCCATTTCTGGAATACTCAGCAACACAGTTTTTGGAAACATCACAGTCAACTTACACCACTTATAGGCACCCAGCTCCTACCCCTCACCAGAAATGTAATATGCAATAATGGCAAATTATGACTTCATTTGGTTATCTTATATGAAAGGCATTTGTTGAGTTGTCACCACTTTGAACATCTCTGGTTTTGGATATTGTGACTCCATGGACAGAAGCTATGCCTAGATTCATTACATTTCTTTCATTTCTCTTTTGGAGGTTTCACGATGTAAGAACCCATGAGCATTTGAGGCTGAAGGTGTTCAATGGTGACTATCTCCACTGTATGGATTTGGTGGTGGATGACCTGAACCTTACTAGAGCCACAGTAATTTCTGTCAGTGTGAACTCTCTAAGGGTGTCTAAGGAGTGTGTTATTGTGTATAAATATATTTGTGTTGTTTCTCATGAGTATAACTGGTTCCAGTCTTATAAGAGGTAAGCTAGACTTAAGGCTTCCCCATGTCCCAGCACACGTGGAACTTATCCAGTATGAGTTCTCTGGTGCTTGGTAAGGGAGGAGCTGTGTGTAAAGGCCTTCCCACAGTTCCCACACTCATACGGCTTCTCTCCTGTGTGGATTCTCCGGTGCTGAGTGAGGTGGGTGCTCTGCCTGAAGGATTTTCCACAATCCTGACATTCATAGGGCTTTTCCCCAGTGTGTGTCCTTTCATGCTGGCTGAGTGATGAGCTGTGACTAAAAGATTTCCCGCATTCATTGCACCCATAGGGCTTTTCCTTGGTGTGAATCCTCTGGTGTTCTATGAGAAGGGAGCTCTGGCTGAAGGCTCTGCTACACTCATTACACTCATAGGGCTTCTCTCCTGTGTGGATCCTCTGATGCTGAATAAGGGGAGCAAGCTGGCTGAAGGCTCTGCCACATTCATTACATTCATAGGGTTTCTCCCCAGTGTGGATCCGCTGATGTTTTGTTAGGGATGAGCTATGGCTGAAGGCCTTGCCACAGTCATTACATTCATAGGGTTTTTCCCCTGTGTGGATTCTCTGGTGCTGAGTGAGGTGTGTGCTCTGCCGGAAGGCCTTCCCACACTGACTACACTCATAGGGCTTTTCTCCTGTGTGTGTCCGCTCATGCTGGCTTAGTGAAGAGCTGTGACTGAAGGTTTTGCCACACTCATTGCATCCATATGGCTTCTCACCCGTGTGAATCCTCCGGTGCTCAGTCAGGAGTGTGCTCTGGCTAAAGGCCTTCCCACACTCACTGCACTCATAAGGCTTCTCTCCTGTGTGGGTCCTCTGATGCTGAATCAGTGGCGTGATCTGGGTGAAGGCTTTCCCACACTCATGGCACTCATAGGGCTTTTCTCCAGTGTGAATTCGCTGGTGTTTGGTCAAGGATGAGCTGTGGCTGAAAGCCTTGCCACACTCTCCACACTGATAAGGTTTCTCTCCAGTGTGGATTCGTAGGTGTTGTGTGAGGTGAATACTCTGCCGGAAGGCCTTCCCACATTCACTGCACTCATAGGGCTTCTCACCCGTGTGAGTCCTCTCATGCTGGCTGAAAGAAGACCTAAAACTGAAGGATTTCCCACACTCACTGCACTCATAGGGCTTCTCACCTGTGTGAGTTCTCTGGTGCTGGATCAGTGGAGCAATTTGGTTGAAGGTCCTCCCACATTGAGTGCATTTATAGGGTTTTTCCCCAGTGTGGATTCTCTGGTGTTTGGTAAGTGCAGAGCTGTTTCGGAAGCCTTTTCCACATTCCTGACATTTATAAGGTCTCTCTCCTGTGTGCGTTCGGTGGTGTTCAATGAGTGCTGAGCTATGATTAAAGTCCTTTCCACATTCCTGACATCTGTAAGATTTCTCTCTTGCATAGGTTTTCTGTGGAGCATTTAACTTTGAGTCCAGTTTCTCCCTCTTTCCACGTGTTCCCCACATGGGAGGACCCTGTCTTTCAGGAGTCATTGGTTGAACTGGGAGATTAGAGCTCATATTCAGGTTTTCCCCAAACCTGTTTCCCTGACATTCCTTCTGGGTGGGAGTCTTCACAGATGTGAAGGCTGCTTGCACCACACAGTTCACTGAACTTTTGAGACTCCATTCCCAGTGGCCCTCAGTGTCCTCACCCCTAGAGTACCACAGGCCACCCCACAGGAGTCTTCTTACCTCAATGACAGTGTTGCATGTTTCTTCAGAGATGCCTAGCTTTGAAACTGAAAGTGGAGTTTCCAAGTCTGAAAGAACAGAAAATGGAAATGTCCATTAATTCCTGTTTTGTGGGAAGAGTTGGGGTGGATGGGAGGGATAGGAAAAAAATGGATGACTTTTGAAAGATTCAAAGCACAAGAGGCTTTGGTCATTAAAAATACAATTCTGCAAATCTAGAAAGTAACATGAGAAGAGAAACAGAACAATCAGTGGTGGGAATGTTGGGATAAGAGATATGGAGTGAGTCTATAGAGGAGCACAGAGGAGTAGGGTGGAGTTAGGATGCTGAGGAGAAAGGATCCAGAGACAAAGTCCACAGATGTTCCAGATCAAAAGGAGCAGCACTGCAGCCAGGCCCCAACTAATAGTGGTAGGAGGCAATAGAGTGAAAGTTGTGGCATGTGGAAGGACTGCTGAAATTTTTTTCCGGAGGTATGTTGCTGTTGTCCCACCTCACCCCAGATGTATAAAAAAGCCATCAGCTCCCCACACTAGAAACAGCTGCAATGACCATAACAAGCAGGATACACAAATGACCTGTGGTGCTGGGCCAGGAGGTGGCATGGTGGTTAAGGTGCTGGATTTCCACATAGGCAATCACAGTTCAAGTCCTGGACCCAGTAGCTTGAAACTCATGCCGGGCACATGTGTGTGAGTGCTCAAAATCCAGAGAGAATGAAGAGATTATTGAGTGGCCATTCCCCCTGGGAGAGGTGATTTCTTACTTTCTGTCTCTCTAGCCAGTACACATTCCCTATAGCAAAAAATCTAAAAATATAAAAGGGGGGAAGGTGTGCAGGTGGCATAGCTGCTGCAGTTGGACTCCCACATGACTGACTATGGTTAGAGTCCCAGACCCATTGGCTTGAAACTCATGCCAGGCATGTGTGCCTAAGATCCCAGGCGGAGAACAGAGAAGGGATTGTTGTGTGGCCAGCTTCCCTGAGAGGTAATTTCTCACTTTCTCTTTTATTGTCTCTCTTTCTCTCTCTCTTTGGTGAGCACACATGTCCTAAGGCAAAAAACCTCTAAAAAAATGACCTGTGGTGTTCAAAGAACTTTGATCTGGTTTAGCCTGCCTTATAAAGTGGGATCCCCCTGAGGACAGAGCATTCCACCTACCTCAGTCATTGCTGTATCCCAGCCTATAGATAAGAGCCTAACAGGCTTACCAAATAAATACCTGTATCACTCTTCCTCCTTCCTTTACCTTTTTACTTCTCTGTATGGCTACTGGGCCTCAATGCAAGCTGGCACTGATTGGCCCAGAGGTATGATGTGGGTACTTTACATGCATCATGCTACATTCCAGTGAGAATTAAAAAAAAAAAAAAAGGTAAAGCCAGGTGTGTGTGGTTGGCAGAACAGGAAATCTCAAAGATGTTCATATCCTATACCCTAGAACCTGTAAATGTGTTATTTTCTGTGACAGGGAGGAATAAACATTGCTAATCACCTGATATTAAGATGCATTATCCTGGGTCCAGAAAGTGACTTAGTGCTTACGGCACTGAACACTCCCACATGGCTGACCACGGTTTGAGTCCCAGACCTGGTGGCTTACTTCCTTTTTTTTTTCCCCAGAGGTTTTTGCTATAGGGCGTATGCATTTGTCAGAAAGACAGAGACAGACAGAGAAACAGAAAGCGAGAAATCACCCCCCCTTGGGGGGGGATGGCCACGCCACAATCCCTTCTCCATTTTCCTCTTGGAATCCTGGGCATGCATGCTCAAACTGTGGTCGACTACATGGGAGTTCAGCGACATAGCCATTATGCTAACTGCTGGTCCCATGGCTTCCTTTCTTACTTTCCCTCTCTTTGTCCATCTCTGGTCAAATTAAAAAAAATAAATGAATAAAAAAATGAAGAATTAAATAAACAATTATTTTTTAAAAATAGAAAGAAAAAAAAGACACACTATCTTGGATTATCTGGTTAGGACCAATATAATCAAGAAGGTCCTCAAATGTAGGAGAGTCAAGAAAGTCAGAACAGAGTGCTACGATGTGAGACTTCACCAGCCACTGCTGACTGTGAGGATGGTCAAGGCCATGAACTAAGGAATGGGGGCAGCTTCTGGAAGCTAGAAAATGCAAAGAAATGGATTTTTCCCTAGAATCTCCAGAAGGAACCAGCCCTGCTTGATACTTTGATTATAGGCTACTGAGACCCATTTTGAATTTCTCATTTCTAGAACTTTAAGATAATTAAGTGTATAGGCTGGGGCTGGGGGGTGGTGGTTAACACAGGCAGATCTCACATAGCCTACCATGTAGTTCAAATCCCAGATCCAGCAGGTTGAAAAGCATGTTAGGCATGTATGCTTGTGTGCTCAAAATCCTGAGAGAAATGTTGAAGGGATTATAGTGTGACCACAAGCTGAGGGTGCTTTTTTTCTTTGGCAAGTGCATATATCCTCTGATCCAACCTCTGCCCCTGAAAGTGTGTACTTTCTCAGCATTCATCACAATCTGTAATTACTCCTCTCATTGTTTATATTATTATTTTTTCTATTTATTGTGTGCTCCTCCTCTCTCGCCAAGAATGCAAATTCAGTGAAGATGGAAACTTGGTCTTAGTCACAGCAGAATGGGTGTTTGGTGAGCACTCACAAGATTGGGTGGTCATTTTGCTGTAAAGAATTAGAGCAGATTTGGAGGCAAATGGGCTCCCACCTCACTTAGGCACACACCTTGGGGAATTCTGGAGTCCAGTGCCCATGGCTCTACCTCCTGTTCCAGTAGGGAGATGACTTCTGGCTTCGGAAACCAATATCCTGTTCAGGGTGAGACCCAGAGTGAACATTTGTGTCCTGGGATCTGGACCCTCCCTAACCCTCTGCCCACTCCATCTTCAGTCTTTAAGGTTCCTTCCAAGTGGCTACAGGCTGCCCCAAGGATCTGCAGCTATCGGTGATAACAGACCCTGATGTTTCTCTGGGAATCCATTTCCCACTCTCCTTGACATTACTGCTGGTTCCAGAGTAGACATGTGACCCAGGCCTGGCCAATCTGAGCTCTGCTTCCCCTTGCTTGCTGGCAGCAGTGACCACTGTGAAGGGGACCTAGCAGCTAAACCAAAACAATGAAGGGGACTTTGATAGATGTCTGGGATATAGACTGTCTTTTCTGCTGGTACTGGGCCCAAGAAAGGCACTCTGGCAGCTGTCTTGTCACTTCAAGAGCCCATCTGGAAAGAGAGCAAGAAAGAGGTTGCTATGGTATGAATGTTGATGTCCCCCTAAAATTCATATTTTGAAACCAGATATCCAACATGATAGTATTAAGAGGTAGGCAGCCCAGAGGTGGTGTGGCAGTTAAATCAGGTGGATCCCAACATGGCCAGTGTGGTTCAAGTTCTGAACCCAACAGCTTGAAAAACATACCAGGCATGTATGTGTGTGTGTGTGTGTGTGTGTGTGTGTGTGTGTGTATGCCCCCCCAAAGAAAAGAGATGGGGTTTTTATAAAATTACTAAGTCATGATTAACTCATGAGTGGGATCAGTGCCCTTATAAAAGCAGCTCCAGAGAGCTCCCTGGTCCTTTCTGCCATGTGAAGATGCAGTAAGAAGGCACTTTTTTTTTTTTTTAAAGAGAGATTTTTTGCTATAGGGTGTGTGTGCTTGCCAGAGAGACAGAAAGCAAGAAATCACCCCCTCCTGGGGGTACAGCCATGCCATAATCTCTTCTCCTCCATTCTTCTCTTAGGATTTTGGGCATGCATGCACACACACTTTGTGTTGAGTTTCAAGCCGCTGGATCTGGGACTTGAACTGTGGACAGCCACGTGGGAGTCCAGCAATGGAACCATTACACCATCTGCTAGCCCTAGAAAGCACTATTAATGAGGAATAGGCCTTCAGCAGACAGTGAATTTGTTGGTGCTTTGTTCTTGGGACTTAGCAGCCTCTAGACCCCTGAGTAATAAATTTAGAGTTTATAATTACCCAGTCTAAGGTATTTTGTTAATAGCAGCTGCAATAGACTAAGAGGTGCAAAGGGAGGAGGTGAAGAGGGAGGGGGCTCCTGATAGCACCCCAGGAAGACTGAGATCTCCTTGCAGTCATGGGACCCAGTATGTCTCACTCACTCCTTTTCTCATTTCTGGCATTTTCAGATTGGATCTATGACTTGTTAATACTGATCCTAATTGATATTTCCTATACTAAAATGGTCAGGTTCCTGAAGTACAATTTGCAGCCCAAGCATTTCCTTTTAAGGAATTAAGAGTATGTGCTGGGGACAGACCATTGGTGACATGTATGTGGCCTTACCCACAGAGATCAGGAGCCTGAGGGTCTCCAGCATCACATCACGGAACAGAGTCCTCTGGGCAGGTTCCAGCTGCCTCCACTCCTCCTGAGTGAAGTCCACAACCACGTCCTCAAAGGTCACTTGCTCCTGAAACATCACATGAGTGTTCTCAGCCAAAGCAAGCCTGGCACTGGCTACTGGTAGGGTAGCTGATGAATAGGGGCATCAGATAGGCTCAGCTGGATGGTGTTCTTCTGGGTGTGAAGATTTGGATCAGGCTTTTCTTTTTTTAGAGAAATATTTTTGCTTTGGGGTGCATGTGCTTACAGGAGAGACAGAGTCAGAAAGCAAGAAATCATCCCTCATGGAGAACAGTCATGCCAATATCCCTTCTCCATTCTTCTCTCGGGATTTTGGGCATACACAGACATGTGCCCAGTGTGAGTTTCAAGTCACTGGATCTGGGACTTGAATCATGGTAGACCATGTGGGAATCCAGAACTTTAACCATTATACCACCTGCTGGTCCCTGGTTCAGGCTTTTTGGTGGGGCCTATTGAGGGGTTGGTCCTTAGGAGGTAAGCAGCCGCACCCATGTTTCCAGAAATCTCACTGTGGAGAAAGATTCTTAAAATAAGAAATTGTGCCAAGAAGTTAATAATAATGGTGCTGGGATCCCAACTGTGGTATGTGAGCTGGTAGACACTGCTCCCTTAGGCTGAGGTCACATGGAAGGCCCAACTGTTATTCTCAACACACTCTAAAATTCAGGTGTGGTGGTACACACTTATTATCCCAGGTACTCAGGAGGCTGAGGTAGGAGGAGTGCAACAAAGCAAATCCCTGTCTAAATATAATCATGATAAGGGACCAGCAAACAGTGTAATGGTTACATCGCAGGACTCCCATGTAGTCGACTGCAGTTCAAGTCCTGGACCTGGTGGCTTAAAACTCACACTAGGTGAGTGTGCGCCCAAGATCCTGAGAGAAGAATGAAGGAGAAGGGATTGCAGTGTGGCCATCTCTCCCTCAGGGTGATTTTTTACTTTTTGCTATAGGGTACATGTTAATACTGATCCTAATTGATATTTCCTACACTAAAATGGTCAGGTTCCTGAAGCCCAATTCGCAGCTCAAGCATTTCCTTTTATAAGGAATTAAGAGTATATGCTAGAGACAGACCATTGGTGACATGTATGTGGCACATGCCGTATAGCAAAAATCTCTCTAAACAAACAATGATAATAATAATGGTACTCGGGCATCAACAATAAAAAAGTGAGAGTGATAGGTGTGCTAGGGTTCGCCAGGAACCATGCTTTCCTGGAGCCCCTGAGCAGACAGCTAGGTCTGGGCAGGGGGTAGGGGAATACCTGGAAAACTGTCAGGTTGTATCCCTGCTTACTCTGCCAAAAAAACCATCTCGATGGATCCAAGAGGGGCTTTAAAAAGTTTATGGAAATGCATATTATGAAAAAACTATGCACAAACTTCACATTTTTTGGTGCCAAAATAAACTCACACCTTAATTCTATTTTTCCATAAACTTTTTGAAGTCTCCCTGTTTATGTTCAACATATGATGTACTTGGTACACTAATTCTGTTAACATAGTATCTCCTACAATTCATTAAGACAGAGGCCAGGGACCAGCAGGTGGCAATGGTGGCTAAGGCACTGGACACTCCCACGTGGCAGACCACATTTTCAGTCCCGACCTATTAGCTTGCTTTCCCTCTTTTTCTCTCCCTGTGTCTCTGGTCAAATTAAAATAAATGAATGAATGAATAAATAAAATTAAATACATAATTCTTTAATAATAATAATTAAAAAAAAAAAGACAGAGGCCAACCAAAGCAATCAAATAATGGATGACAGACATGAGCCAGAAGGGAGCCTATTACCTCAGGGAAGGGAAGGCGGCTCTCAACTGCTGCACACGCTGGATGTACTTCTTTCTTCCATGTGACATGCCTAGTCTCTACAGACATCTGGTTTTGTGCTTGGATTTGGCAGGGAGGGTTTTGTGGCCCATATGGCCAACTGGGAGTAAAGACAATAATGGTCGGGGGTTGGCAGGTGGCATGGTGGTTGAGAGTGCTGGACTCCCACATGGTCAACCGTGGTTCAAGTCCCAGACCTGGCCACTTGCTGTCATGCTTTTTCTCTCTCTCCTCTTTCTCTCTCTGTCCCTCTCTGATCAAATTAAAATAAATAAATAAAGTTTGTGGGAAGCTGCACACAAGCAAGTCTGCCGAGGTTTCTCAGAGAGCAAACAGTTACCATGATTGGTTCCCTTCCAAAAACCTGACCTTCGAAACCTTGCTCTGATTGGCCACTAGAATCCCTCAAATTTGCATATCCAGCACCTCATGATTGGTCCAAAAGCAACCAATCATAACC